TAGAACATGTCATCATGTAATGCTAACACCATCAGAAGTCTTGTGGCTCCCTCACCCAGTTATAGCACCGCCCTGATCACTGTGGCTCAGTTGGTTGGGCATCGCTCCACAAAGCAAAGGTTGCAGGTTCGATTTCCGATCAGGGTACATGCCTGGGTTGTAGGTTCAGTCCCTGGTCAGGGCTGACCCATGTTTCTCTCTCACATCAATGTTTCACTCCCTTCTCTTTCTCCCTCCTTTCTGTTTTTTCTAAAAAATAAGTAATCTTTTTTTAAAAAAACAAAGTTATATTGTCTATCTTTAAAAATTAAGAAATGAGCCCTGACTGGTCTGGCTCAGTGGACTGAGTGCCAGCCTGCGAACCAAAGGGTCGCTGGTTCGATTCCCAGTCAGGGCACATGGCTGGGTTGCGGGCCCGGTCCCCAACAGGGGGCGCACACAGAGGCAACCACACATCAATGTTTCCCTCTCTTTCTCCTTCCCTTCCCCCTCTCTAAAAATAAATAACATCTTTCAAAATAAATAAATAAATAAATAAAAATTAAGAAATGGCTATGCTGTAGAAGAAAAACAGGTGATCATTTTAATCTAAAAGTGGTCGGCAAACTATTTTATGTTCATAAATAGTAATTAAATAGTTTTAAATGTAATAGCAGAAAGAGAAAACACATACAATAGAATGTGTAACTTCCAAAGTCCTTTTCCTTTTTTCATTACGGAAACCTTGGGGACCCAAGTAGACAGACGGTCAGAAGGCAGATTACCAATGTCAATTCACATTTAAGCAAAACTTGTGCCAATTAAAACTGAAACACCTGTCTGAATTAACAAAATTGTTCCTGTTTTCAACAATGAAAGGAAATTAAAAGCATTACCTGAATGTCACTGACTTGGCTAATCTGAAAGGAAATAACGTAAATAACACAGCTAATTTTAAATTATCAAGGCGATACAACATAAAGACTCCCTAAAACAGTACAAGTTATTTTTACTATGACTCATTCAGTTTTCCTGAAATGTGCAGATATAATATCTCAGGAATAGCACTTCACAGTGACAACTAAAAAAAGATGAAGTATTCCTTTTAGTACAAGCTTTTCGCCTTGCTGAATAAAAACATTTTCCAAACACATCTCACATATATTTCAAATGCTACACTAACATGAAAGCACCGGCAAAATGTCTCCAAAAAAAAAAAAAAAAAAAAAGGTTACACCATCATTTCAATAAACTTTAGGAGAGTTCATTACAACTGAATGACATTCAGGGCCTATAAAGCATCCACTTGTTCATTCAATAAATATTTACCAAATGTCCAATAACCACGGTCCTGTCCCTCCAATGCTTACATTCTGTGGTGGGAGTATTAAGACGTCTGTTGTATTTGCTCTTCTGTCAGCAAAGGAAGATGCCTCACAGCCCCGGGCGCAGGCCGCCAATGCCGCAGCAGAGCAGGGAAAGAGTACCCAGCAAGAAACGGTGTGCCATTTCTTTCCTCTCTGCTCCCTTCTCTTCCAATTCTATAGCCAATGCCAAACAGGTCTGGCCCACTTCAAAAATTCTATTCCTTTAAACAGAAACACTCCCCTACAAACCAGTGACCAGGAGGCCTGGCTCAGCACTGAGTGCTATGGGTGTACCAGCCTCTACCTTCTGGAAGTACGTTCACACCGATTCTGCAATTTGATCCTCAAAACAGTGCTCTGGGAGGAGAGCACATTACTCCTTCACCCGTTTTACAGAAGAGAAAAATGAAACAAGTGGTTATCCCTACCGCTAGGCACAGCTACACTTGGCGGTCACCAGGTTAAAGCAGGGCACCTAAATTCTAGAACTAAGTGGAGTAAGGCAGCACCAAGCTGTAGGACAGGAATAAATTCTGTTGCAGGATTTTGTATACAGGGTGGGGCAAAAGTAGTTTTATAATTATGTATACACAAAACACAGAGTTTATTCTTGTATTATTATTTATTAATTATTTTGTTATTTTCCATACAAACAACTGCAAACCCACTTTTGCTCCGCCCTGCATTTCATTCATTCTCCTAGTCTGCACACATTTATTAAGCAGCAACTATCAGTAAAGTACTAAAGCATTGTCCCAGACCTTGTAGAAGACCCAAAGAACAGAGCCCAGTCCCTAAAACTGGGAGTTTATGGTCTATGGGGAAGATAAGACACACACATAGTTATACCATAAGTCCAAATATGATTCGTACTCAAAGAGAAGCACAGGCAAAAGTTCAAGAATTCAAAAGTAGGGTAGCACCTAAAAGTGTTCCCTCTTGCCTTAAATACTCTTTTAGAGTTATAAATAATAGGTTACAAATAAAGGATATTTATATACAAGATATATAGTTATATAAGATATAAATGTCAATGAAATTCTTCATTAAAACCAGGAGCCACTTGTAATTCACCTTATTATCCATTCAGTATCACGTACAAAGTGTCCAACCCACGGCCCACAGCCCACAGGCCGCATGAGGCCAAGGACAGCTATGAATCAGCCCAACACAAAATGGTAAATTTACTTAAAATCTTTTTTTTGCTCATCAGTTTTCATTAGTGTTTGTGTATGTCATGTGTGGCCCGAGACAACTCTTCTTCCAGTGTGGCCCAGAGACACCACAAAGTGGGACACCCCTGGTTACAGGAAGAACTGACAGATAAAAGGAAGAGGTGACAAGGGCTCATTTGGGTTTTTCTAGCATATTCTGTATGCTTCCTTTGGGATTAAAAAAAGAACGGGGTGGTATAGAGTCCGAAGCCGGCATGGGGCTACTAAAAACCCTCCTCACATAGAAGTTCGTTGCCTCACTTCTTACCAGCTAAATGTTTAGTTGGGATAACAAACTCATCTTCCAGAAAAGCTAAGCCTAACACTATGCAGCGCTGTCGTCACGTAGCTTTCCGCCAAAGAGAGGTCAGTCCTCAGGTCAGTTCTGATTTTGAAAAGAGCTGGAGGGGGAAAGAGAGCAAGAAACATGTCTTATGAAGCCATGGGGGGAAAGTATGCAATATGAATTTACAGTCTTCACTGCGAACCAGGAGGGGTAAGTGAACGGGCACCAAAAGTTATTGGAGCTAATTTCTTCAGAAGGACCTCACAATTTAGAGGAATGAGGATGGGGAAAAGAAATTTAAAAAAAAGAAAAAGAATCAGAAAAGAAGTAGGAAAACTGTTTAAAAGGAAGCAATATAACCCCCCCTACAAGAAAAGTTAAAAAAAATTTACTGTTTGAATGTAAGTAGAGTATCTTAGAGTCTTTTCAGCACAAGTGCGGACAGTATATACTACCATCAACCACTTATGAGACCAGACCCGAGCGTCCTCCCCAGGAGAGGCCGGCAAGGCCACTTCCTATCCTATGCTGCATCCTGTTTCCTTCAGTCATCAGAAGAAACACAAGCGTCCTAGTCACCATTCGTCACCTAGACACTTGTCCTCATCCAGCTCTGAACTGCCCTACACTGACTGCAGCTCCCCACTGGTCCAGAGCCCCACCTGCTTCTCTGTGCCCCACCTCACGCAGCCCTAGTTCAGCGTCATCTTCGCACGGAACCTTCCCCGCCGCCTTGTCTAGCACAGCCGTCATTCCCATCCTTACTCCCTTACCCTGCTTCACATTTCTCCTGCGCACTTCTAGGTATTCCTCTCTTCGTCTGCTGTGCATTTCCCCCACAGGAATGTAAACTGATGGAAAAACTCCAAGAGGGAAGGATTGTTCACTGCTGTATCCCCAATAACCGGCGCAATCCTTAGTACATTTTAAACATTCGACAGATATTAGCTGCATAAATAAATGGGAAGTACATGATAATTTTTAATATCTTTTTTTTAAATTTTGTAACGTTTTACTTGACAAATTCCTGAGAGCATATGTAACAAAAAATAAGGACATTTTTACATAGTAACCTAAACACAGGCATGCTATAATAAACACCAAAGATTTCTAAGAAGTGAAAAAATAAAATGGGAACCCAGAGAACTCAAAGGATTAACATCTGACCAGTTCCAAAATGGTATATAGAAGACGGTAACTTGCAAAATTTATATTACAGTACAAAGTAAGGGAGCTTTTCTTTCTATCAGATAAAAGTACTTTATTTTTGCCTTATCTGAAACAAAAACAAAAGAATAAAACATCAGAATTCTAACTTGAGGCCCAACCACGATATAAAAATGCCTTTGAAAGAAATGATGTATCTTAAGCAACTTGCATTCCTTAAAAACTCACATAGCTCCTTTTCCTCCATAAAGCTGGGGAGACCCTGACTGACCCCTTCATCTGTGACCTTCCTCTCTTTGAAAAGCCTTCTTTGATCTCAAATCCTCAGATAGCTATTCCTCTGCCTTTCCTTTTCACTGCCGCTCTTCTCCAACTGTGTTCTTTATCAAATTTATTTTCCCATACGCCATTCTGTCCTTAATCCTCTGGAATGACTCCCCAGACCCTCCACTGAAACTGTCCTCACAGACAAGCAGCGCGCCCCTAGCGGTCCGAGCCCGCAGCTCTTCTCCTGACTGCTCTCCGTGGTCCCTCACGCCCACGACACCGCTCCGCCCCCAGCCTCTATAACCGGTGCCCCCCTGGTTTTGCTCCGCGCTCCCTCAAGTCCTCTACCCATCACACCCACGCAGGCATCAGCCTCGGTTTTACTAAGAGCTGTACACTACAGTGGCTTCAGAACGATGATTCAAATTTCTGCTCTGTTTCTTCGTTTACTCCTTCAACCTTTATTGAGCACCTGTTCTATGCGGTGCTCTGGGAACAATGAACAAGAAACATTTGGTCACTACCCTCAAATCGGAGCAAGAACAAAAAAAATGCTTATGTTTAAATGAGCAGCAAGATAGATTCTGGTTTTGTGTTTGTTCCCTTAGTTCCCTTAAGTGGCAGTGTTTCAACGTGAGCAATCTGAGGCAAGAATTACCAGAGGCAAAATAACTTACAAGGAAAAACAATGAAAATGGAAAGAAAAAAGACTTTACTCACCGAAGTAAATGCCAGCAGCTCCTCCTCAGTTAACTTATGCACTGGATTATTCTTTTGCAAATTTGTGCTTTAAATTAAAATATACATATAAATTACTTCTAAAATGCATGTTGTATTACTTCTAAAAAGCATGAAATAATAATTTTTGAAAGGCAAAGTAAACTTATTTCATATATTTGAAAGCACATACTTTAATATTACTATATTACATACAAATATAGATAGGAGTTTGCCAAAGATAAGTACAGAAAGTAATAAAATGCTGACAAAATGTGGTTGGTGTACTAAATGTCAACGTAATTTATTTTACTAGGAAAAAAGAAATCCAATCCACAAAGAAAATGAAAATAATTAATATGGCATCAACTCCCATTTATTAAACTCATGCCAAAAAAATTAAAATACTACTATAACCACTTGGCAACTTCTTAATTTTTGCCTAAGACGCAGAACAATGGGAATTTTTGATCATGTTGATCTAAGTATGATTTGGTAGCAAAATTTTGAAAAACAATTTAGCACTATCTTGTAAAATGAACATTCTCATAGCCTAAACTCAGTAATTACATCCTAAGTGTTAGAGCCGAGAAATTCTTGAACAAATACAGCACAAATATCAATATTAACATTGTAAGTAGTAGAAAAAAATCTGTTAACAATCCAAATGCCCAAAGGAGACTAGTAAATTGTGAAATATTCATCAAATGGAATGATATACTGCAAAGTAAACTGTAGCTATACATAAAACACGAATGAATCGGGGGTTGGGGGAGGTAGAAAAGGGTACAGGGGGGATAAAGGGTGATGGAAAAGAGACTTGACTTTGGGTGGTGAACATAACACAATATACAGATGATTTATTAGGATTGTACATCAGAAACCTACATAATTTTATTAACCAATGTCACCCCAATAAATTTAATTTTTAAAAAAGAAAAAAAAGTAACAGAGAGCACAATAATGATAGAAAAAAGCAAATCACAGAAGACTGCATATAATAAGATACCACTTTTATAAATCTCAAAAAGAAACAAAATGAAGCAATTGATTTTATGAGTTCTTTATATATTTTGGATATTAACCCCTCATCCAAGCTTTGTTTGCAAATTATCTCCGATTCAGTCAGTTGCCTTTTTGTTTTGTTCCTTTTGCTGTGCAGAAGCTTTTTAGTTTCATATAGTCCCATTCATTTACTTTTGCTGCAATTGACTTTAGAGGTATAAAAAAATGTGAGTGAATATATTTTTTTGAAAAGGCAAGCAAGTGACAAACACGAAATTGATGCGAGGGACTACCTCTAGAGGAAAGGCAGGAGAGGGAGACAGGCAGAAAACACAGACTGGCTAATGATATTTGTCATCAAGTTCTTAAATTGTGTGGTGGATTCATTTTATTATTACTCTACATTTATATATAAACTTACATTTAATATTATATAAATTATTTTGTATGTAAATATTACTTATACTAAGAATGCAAAGAAAACCACTCCACAACAACAGTACCACTTCCTTATAATTGTCAATATTGTTTGGGGATTTTATAATGGGCATACATTGTTTCCATAATAATTTTTAAATGACCTTATTTTTATTGTAGGTAAGAAAAAATAAATGAATGGGGGAGAACTATGAAATCAATTTTCTAAAAACACACAACACACACACACTTAGATATTTCAAGTGTGCACAAAGGAATTGTTTCAGCTGGCGAAAGGATCCAATTAACCTCTAAGGTCCTTTCAATTCTAAGACTCTCTGATTCTAGTAAGTCAAGAAGAGCATAAAAGTCTATCCAATAAGAACCTCATGCAAAAATCGACCAACATTCGATTCCCAGATACAAAAATCCCAATTCTTAATTCACTGCAGAAAAGTGAAATGCTACAGCTTCATTCAAAATAATTATGACATAGTCACTGAATCAGGCCATCCCTACACCATAATTTACGGTTGGCTTAGAATATTTTACTATGCATACCCAAGCATCAGACTGTTAATTTAAAAGGAATCACCCACTCTGACAGTCCTAATTACTAAAGGACTTCTGTATTTTAAGGAATTCCTCCCAGAATTACTTTATATAAAAACAACTGGGTATACGGAGGCATAAGAGACATGGAGCAAGTTCTGGTGTGCGGTTTCAGGTAAAATCAAACTCAAGCAGCAGCCCAGGGAAGGGGCAAGACGCTGGCCCACTGTTTCGCCAGTCTATCATCTATAAGAATTCACCTTCTCTGTATCTCCTTTCCAAACCGACCCTTCCTACCACAATGTCCAAGTCCCCTCTCCACAGAGATCAATGGCCTGGATCACAAAGATCAGGCAGCATAATAAAATCACTGCTTACTATTCCCATGGTAGCTCAGTCCTTGCAAATCATCAACTCACTGATGTTCTAACCCAGAAGTTTATAAACTGCATCAGATCCTCCAAGACTCAATATAATTAAGTAGTTTCTACAAATGAAGATTTAAATTGCCCATGAAATCCAGTCAACACCTTTAACTGTTCTATATATTGAGATTCCACCAAGATCATATTTTAGGGGAAAAAACAGTATTTGAAACAAGCATTTTCTTGGTTTTTTAGTCCTCATCGAGTTGGGAAGTCCAATTCAATATAGCTAAAGCTCAACTGATTGAATGCCTGGGATTATATACAATATATTCGGTGTGATTTCATTTCCTGAAATGAGCTGACAGTTAGGAATTTGCTACAATAATGTTCTAAGAAATAGCATAAGGAACTCAGAATTTGGGGTCAGTAAATCCTGGAATCAAGCTTTAATTATTGCTTTGTAATTCCGAGCAAATCATTTAGCCATTTGAACCCTAATTTCCCATCTGAAAAGTGGAGAAAACAACAACCTCTAAGGCTGTTAAGATATCAATGAGGGATAAACAATGAGTGCTGCTCAGATGCAAAGAAAAGGGAACCCTAGTGCACTGTTGGCGGGAACGCAGACTGGTGCAGCTACTGTGGGAAACAGTTTGTAATTTCCTCAAAAAGCCAAAAATGGAACTGCCTTTTGACCCAGTGATTCCGCTGCTGGGATTATACTCTAAGAATCCCAAAACACCTATTCAAAAGAACCTATGCACCCCAATGTTCATAGCAGCCCAATTTACAATAGCCAAGTGCTGGACACAGCCTAAGTGTCCATCAGTAGATGAGTGGATCAAAAAACTGTGGTACACTTACACAGTGGAATACTATGCAGCAGAAAGAAGGAACGCCTACCTTTTGCAACAGCATGGGTGGAACTGGAGAATGTTATGCTAAATGAAATAAGCCAGTCAGTGAAAGACAAATATCATTGTGACCTCACCTGTAAGAGGAATCTAATGAACAAAATAATGAACAAAATAGAACCACAGGCACGGAAACATGGAGCGGACTGACAGTGACCAGAGAAGAGGGAGAAAGGAGAATAATGGTAGAAAGAAGGGGAAGGGACTAGTCAAGGAACACATATGAATGATCCATGGACATGGACACCGAGTGGGAATGACTGTGGGAGTGGGGGGTGGGCTGGGTGGAGGAGGGCAAGGTAGGAAAAATGGGACAACTCTAATAGAATAACAATTAAAAAAGAAACTTTAAAAAAATAATTTCAGTGAGGGATATTGTAAAAGTACATGGTATAATTCCTAGCACATGATATTGCTTGTAAATGTTTGCTGTTTATGTTATTTATACACTAAATATCATTATAAATTGAACAAATAATTTTTTATTAGTAAGCATAAATTCTGTCACTGGAATCAAATAATGTGAAAGGTCAACTGATTTGGATTTAGAAACAGAATTCTATGTGTGATCCCTATTAAATAAAAGGGGAGCGGGGAAAGAGAACGTCAGTTTACTGTTCCACTTATTCAGGCATCCACTGATTGACTCCTGTATGTGGCCGGGGGGATCAAACCCACAACCTTGGCATTATCAGGACGAAGCTCTAACCAACTGAGCTATCCAACCAGGGCCTAATCTCTACCTTTTAATTGGTTGCCCAACTATTCTCAATCTTCAGAAGCATTATAAGAGTCCCTCTTCATCCAGAACTTTTGGGACCTCCTGAATGAGTATTTCCCCAACACACAGAACCAACATGCAAGGGCCTCAATGTAGCCAAGTAAGTCATTACCAGATTCCAAGGATAACAGCAAGCTCTTCTGCACATAGGTCGGGTATCTGAAACTGTTCACAGTCTGCTAACTTTATCTCATTTAGAACAGTATCATCATTCAGCTCAAGATTCTGGTGGAATACAAAAGAAAATGTTTGGACCAAAAATTAAATTTCATTCATTCAACAAACTGCATGCAATTAACTGCTAGGGGAGGATAAACTTTTTTGTTTAAGATTATGCAACAGTCTACATATGGTGAATAGGCCTTCTCTTGAAACACATCTTTGGGACAATGTACTGCGTAGAAAGAGAGGGCACGTGATCTGTACCTCAGGAATGCACTGACAATATCCATCACAGGGAATAACAGCTATCGTTGCCTGAGCCTACCTTGAGAAAACCCGCTTACTGATTGACATACCAGGATTCACAACCGGATCTTTCTACTCTGCCTCTAAACTAACATTTAAAACATCAATTCCAAACTCTATTTCTCAACAGGCTCTGGAATAGCAAAACAATTTGAAAATAATAAAATCTGAGGACTTATAAGACTTGATAGAATACTTGGTTTTAAGAATTACTGCAAAACCAAGACAGTGTCGTGCTGGAATGAAGAAAAAATATATAGCTCAGGAGAATAAAACAGAGTTCAAAATTTTAGATCCACATTATATAGTGAGTTGATTTTCAACTAATATGCATAAGTGATTCAAAAGAGAAAAGTCTTTTCAACAAATGATTCTGGAACAACTAGATACCCATTTAGGGAAAAAAAAAAATTACCCTCACCCCTATCTCATACCCTATCCAAATTAAACCAAAATTGATCACAGACCTTAAAGTAGAAAGAAGCTAATAGTAAAAACCGTCTAAAAGAAACCCTAGGAGAAAAGTTTTGCAACATCGGGGTAGGCAAACACTAAAAGAACCTGAACTATCAGAGAAAAACAATTGAATAAGTTGGACTTCATCAAATTAAAAACTTTTGCTCTTTGAAAACATTGTTAAGAAAATAAATGGCCACGCTACAGAGAATATATTCACAAAAGGAACATTGAAAAAGAGGTTTGTGTAAAGAATATGGAGAACTCTTAAAACTCAGTAATAAGATAACCCAATAGAAAAATGGACAAAAGATTTATATAGATGCTTCATAAAAGAAGATATATAGCCCTGGCTGGAGTAGCTCAGTGAATTGAGTGCTGGCCTGTGAACCAAAGGGTCGCTGGTTCAATTCCCAGTCAGGGCACATGTCTAGGTTGCCAGCCAGGTCCCCAGTAGGGGGCGCGTGAGAGGCAAACACACTTTGATGTTTCTCTCCCTCTCTCCTTCCTTTCCCCTCCATCTAAAAATAAATAAATAAATAAAATCTTTTAAAAAGAAAGAAAAAGAAGATATACAAATAGCCAACAAGCACAGAAAAAATATCATGGACAGCAGTAGTCACTATGGAAATACTAATTAAAGTAAGAATGAACTACTAATACACACACATTAAAGACTGACAATTCTAATGTTGACATGGATCTGAAAAAAAATTTTTTAAAAAAGAAGTTCATTTATTTATTTATTTTTAGACAGAGGGGAAGGGAGGGAGAAAAAGAGGGAGAGAAACATCGATTTGTTGCTTCTTGCAAGCCCCCAACCAGGGACCTGGTCTGTAACACAGGCATGTGCCCTGACCGGGAATTGACCTGGAGACCCTTCGGATCGCAGGCTGACACTCAATCCACTGAGCTACACCAGCCAGGACTGAAAATTTCTTAAAATGGTACCACCACAGAAAACAGTTTGCCCTCATACTTTGATGGTGGGGATTTAAAATAGTACAACTACTTTGAAAAACACGTTGGCAGCTTCTCAACAAGTTAAAAAATATACTTACTGCATAATCCAGCCATTCCATTCCTAGATATTGACCCATGAGAATTAAAAATACATGTTCACACAAAGACTTACACACAAATCTCCCAAGCAGCTTTACTCATAATAGCCAAAAACTAGAAACAGCTCAACTGTCCACCAACAGGGGAATGAATAAATACACTGTGGTATTAGCTTAGCAATAAACAGGAGCTAAGTATTGCTATCAAAATATCAGTGAATCTCAAGCATTATACTAAGTGCAAGACACAACAGAGTCATACTCTACGATTCTATTTATTTGAAACTCCAGAAAAAAACAGGTCTGGTCTGTGACAGAAAGCAGGTCAGTGGGAGGGGAAGCGATTACTGGAGTAGCATAGACTCTTGGCCTGATGGAAAGGGTTCTATATTTTGATTATTGTGATGGTTACCTGGATCTATCTAGGTATCAAAACTCATCAAAACTGTACATTTAAAATAGGTACATTTTATGTAAATATTTCCTCAAGAAGCTTCATTTACATTTTTTCTAATTCAATAAAAGTAACTAAAACTAGGAAGAGTTTAGGAGTTAAATGGAGCTGGGCAGAACCCGCCCCAGTTTCAGAAATCTGAAAACTATGACTTAAAGGTCAGCCTCTTAACAGGTGGACAATCATCTGCCCACAAACACAGCCCAAAAGAATGGCTTTCCTTGTTTATCCTCGAATTCATGCTAACTGCAGGCCCAGCTCTATCTACAAGGTTGCAAGAAACAGCACAGCAGCCACCAACCGCTGCTGATGGGAGGAACACAGCCCCGGGGGCTGCTTCCTGGCCTCCACTGAAACACTGCCTCTCCCTCCCCGCTGGGCACCCTTCAAAAGGCAGGGCTGGCGGTGCACAGCGCACCCTGGTGACCATCCATTTTCAACAGAGGCCTTTCTGTAATTTTTAAAATTTAGAGTTAATACGTAATTTTAAGTTTTCAAAATGCTACACTTTAAACAGTTTTAAAAATAAAAATAAAGTGACTTAAGGTAATCCTCATACCATGTACCAATAGACAATTAGTGCTTATATACTATATATTCTTTTTTTGTACACAGTCTATGAAATCTGGTGTGCCTTTCGCTTCATTACATCTCAGTCCAAACCAACCAACTTTCAACTGATTAACCACCACATGTGGCTGATGGCTACCCCTGGGCGGGTCAGCGCTAGAGCATACCCGGACTCTTACCTTTTTTCATCCTGAGAGGGGGATATCAACATACTTATAAATTCCCAATGATTAATAACACATTTGTGGAAGGCCTTTCCAGAGCTAATCTGACCATTTGTAACAAAGTGTGATGTGGGAGAAACAAATGAGGAAACTAAGAATCTAGTAACTTTCCCGGGTTCTCACTGAGGCTGGAGGCCTAGCCCCTGCCCTTGGCATTAATTTCAATACAAAAATAGAATTTCAGTGTTCAATGTGCCCCCAGTAAGTTGGTTTGCAGGCTGTAGAATGAAGAGTAGCAAGACACAGGCTTCAAGGGTAGTAGCATCCACCAAAGGACAACCAAAAACCTTGGATGGGGCTCTCCAAGAACATATAAATGCTAATGGCCTCCCGGGACGCAGCTGGAAAGGCCTCTAAGCAGACAAACTGACCAAGAGCCGTAAATTCAGGTTGCAAGAAGAAAAGCGTTAGCCACATCAAGAAAAACACACTAAGGCAGGAACCAGCCGAGTAACAGAGTAATGTGACCAATTAGAACACTACTATAAAGGAATTCTGATCGTCTGCTTGTATATTTAGAAGCCCAAGAAATTTTAAATCTTAGTGTTCAAAAATATTCACAGAAGGCAAAAGTAAGGCAAGGGATATGGTAGCAGCTAGAAAAATTAGTCACTGCTCAGCCTGCCTTTTAGATTTCTTCAAAGAGGGGAACATAACTAACTGTATTACTTACTAACTTACACTCAGCAAAGAGCAGAAGAAAACCATCTTAACTCTACTTAAGGGCAAAAAAAAAAAAAAAAAAGGCATAAACAGGGAAGATTTTTAGCTGTCAACCTCTTTGAAAAAGCTAGAGAAGAGACAAAATGCCTCTTCCCACTCCAGTATTTCTATGAAACTCACCTACTGAAACTGTAAGACTTGGGTGCTAATTTAAGTAACTCAGGATCCTACTCACCTTGGATAAATGCTCCTGAGGAGTTGGAGCTGGACTGAATTCACAATCTGAATTTGTATCCCCTTCCCTTCTTACATCTAGAATAAGTTGTGCCACATAGTTTTCCTGGAACCGTGTCCTTTTGCCCAAAGCTCCTGAAAATATATATATATATATAATTATATTATTTGATTTGTCAATCAGATCTACTGTACAATTATAAAGACCAGTATTTTCAGAGTGCTTTAGTGTTTACAAAATATTTCTCCATTTCACATAAGAGAAACCTGAGTCCCAGTGATCATTTTAAATGACTTGCAAAATTATAAAGCCAATAAGCTGTGGGGCCCAAACTCAAACCCAGAATTTCTGCCAATAGATTTCATATACTTACTTTCGCAACACACTACCTACTTCCTCAAAAGAGTGATTCGCTAAGTGCCGTAGGTAGGAGAAACATTATCATCTCCATATAACAGATGAAAACACTGAGGTTCTGAGGCAGAATCACTTGCTTAAGACCACAGTGCTTCTCAGCACCAGGGCCAGAGCTTAAAGCCAGGGTTTTCAGGCTCTAAATCCCAGGCTTTCTATCAAACCATCTGGCTTCATGTAACGCCAATTTTTTTTTTCATTTTGTAACTGAAATAACTTGCTGCAGAATAGCTTTAAGAGAAGCAAAAATTCTAACACCCATTTTCTGGTAAGAGTCAGATTACAAAGGCCCTTGATAAAGACCACTCTAAGAAGTCTGGATTTTATCCTGCTACGAGTCTGGCTCTAAGTTATACATCGGCCTTTTAAACATGCTATACTAAAAACAGCTACTGAGATGGTCTAACACAGCTTACTTTTTTTTATAGTAAGGCTATAGCTAAATGGGAAAAAAAAAAACCTGATTCTCATTTTACATGTGTAAGTACCACATTTGTATTTTTAAGTTCTTCACTCTTAACTTGGAAAAAATTATGAAAACCAGGTAGAGAATTCACCAACAGTTAAAGTTGACCATACATAGTACTGTGCTATTAGTTTTTTAAGTAGTCTGAAAAAGAATCTCCTAGGTCTACAGTATTAAAAAACATAATCTCTGGAACTAACCTCACAAGTTATAGATATAAAATTATATTTTCAAATGCAGACAAGAGAACAACTTACACATGGCCATAGTTCCAAAAGTTGTAAACTGGATATTTAATCATTTCCCCAACACAAACAATAATAAAAGATGCCTAAGATCCGAGACTAAGCCACAAAGTCATATTTAACTCCTAATATATCTGAAGGCATTTTTTATACAGCTCAGTAAGAAGTACAGAGTTTGGGGGCTAAGAATGGGCCTCAGAGACAACCTAAACCAGTCTGGGGAGGGCGCAAGAGGCTCAGTCATTTCAGCGCTTACAGACTGGAGTCACAGGCTCCCTGCTGTGCCCACAATCAGCTGTTACCAATGGTGTGGTCAACTGATGACGTATGACTTTCATTCACGTGTTCAACATGGAATGCCTATCCTATTGTGAGACACTAGGGACAGAGCAATACATAAAAAGAAACCAATGTTTCTTATCTGGTATTTAGAAGAAACACAGAGGTTCTAGGAAAAATTCTGTAACTTATTTGTTCACTCAACAAATATTTACTGAGTACCTACTGTACGTCAGGCAGAGTTATAAGGCAGTGAAGAAACATCTAAACAGAACAGTTAAAAAATGTGGTCTTAAATAATGCTCAAAAAAGCAGGACAGAAGCCATGGATGGGCATTTACACATGAGGGCGACATAAAGGACAGACCAAACTTGGGAATCAGGAGGGATCTTAGGAGACTCACAGCTATAACCAAATGGTCAAAGGCTCCTTTGCATACTGCCTGGCTGCTATGCTGCTAACATGTGTCTAACTAGATGAGAAAATAAATGGGCATCTTGAGGAATAAAGAAAATATGTAATTTCAAATTTCTTATAAAACTATGAACTTTTAAAATAAAATCCTTAAAATCTTTGTAAAGCAAAGAATGGGACACAGAAAATCAAACACGACCAAACAATATAGCCAAACTGCCAATATTAGTTTTATCATAAAAATAAACTAATTATCCACAAAAGATAAAAAGTCTTACCTGTCAAGTCAACTTGTAATTTGCTGATGTCTTTAGCAATACTAAACTGATCATTTGCTTTTTTATATTCATAATAATATAAAAATATATATGCACATTCCAGATGAAACTGAATAGCCAAATAGTGACCTGAATCACCTGCAAACAGATCCTCTAGCTTCATCACTGCAAGACAAAAGATGAAACATTAAAAATTGTGAGAATAAAATTATATTAATGAGCAAAATGAGGAGTCTATAATATGTGAGGTATATATTACATTAGCCCTGCTCTTAAAGAATGTTAAATCTGGAGGATAAGGAGCCCATATATAATAGTTCACAGCTAGCATTCTCTGAGCACTTACACGTTCCAAGCACGAAGCTAAGGACATTATACACATTTCTTCCTTTATCCCAAACAATCTTAAGAGATTTGATTCATAACCCTGCTCCTCCTTATTTTAGAGTGTTTTTCTTCATCATACTATTAAAAAATATGACAACATAAGGTGTTGATACAAAGTACCAAATGAGTCTATGACGAGCTAAACAATATAGAAAATTTGATGAAGAAATTCCCACATAAAGAATGTAGAATTTCTCCCTTAAAAGGAAGGGAACCCTCCTCTTCTTGGCGGGGGTCGGGCGTGTGGTCCCGGTCCCTGTAATGTATGGAGGCAGAGGGAAAGGGCTCCGGCCCCCTCGGCGTCATGTCTTCGGTGCCGATGGTTTCCAGTCCGCCGGTTCTATCCTCAAGCGCCGGGACACGCGTTAAAAAAAAAAAAAAGGAAGGGAGAGCTCTTTCCAAATGCGGCCTGAAGTGACCTCTGAAAATGGTATTCACTTGACCAAGAAAACCCCCCAAAACCATGAAAATCAAGAGGCTCGAATCTTAGTGTTCACTTTAAAACACTCATGAAACTCCCCACGCCATCAAGGGTATGCATACCCAAAAAGCCACCGAGTGTCTGAAGGATGTCACTTTAATGCCATTCCATCCTTACAAATGGTGGAGTTGGCAGGTGTGCCCAGGCCAAACAGGGGCTGGACATGAGGTCAGTGGCCCCAAAAGAGGGCCGAGTTTTTGCTGCATGTGCTTAAAAATGCCGAGAGTAATGCTGAACTTAAGGGTGCAGATGTAGATTCTCTGGCCATTGAGCAAATCCAGTGAACAAAGCCCCCAGACATGGCACAGAATTTACAGAGCTCATGGAACCACACGTAGCCCTCTCTGCCATGCAGAGATGGTCCTTCCTGAAAGGAGCAGATTGTTCCTAAACCAGAAGAGGAAGTTGCACAGAATAAAACAGATATCCCAGAAGAAACTGAAGAAACAAACTTATAGCCCAGAAGTAAATTTAGCAGAAAATAAATAATAAAAGCAAAAAAAGAAAAAAAGGAGAAACAGCCCTCGCTGGTGTGGCTCAGTGGGTTGAGTGCCGGCCCACAAAACGAAAGGTCACAGGTTGATTCCCAGTCAGTGCACATGCCTGGGTTGTGGGCCAGGTCCCTAGTAGAGGGCGTGCAAGAAGCTGCCACACGATGTTTCTCTTTCTCCCTCCCTTCCCTTGTCTAAAAATAAAAAAATAATTTTTTTTAAAAAGGAAAAACAGATAAATATTCATATGGGAGGATAATAACCTAGTAACACAGTATCTGAAATAAAATGATTGTCAAATTAATTATATTTAATCATGGGATGCCTAACACGTCACCTCATCTACCCATTTTTATTTTTAAGAATCAACTTAATCTTTATATTCCAACAGCATGACCAATTTACTCTCCCAATAAAAAACTCCTTTAAAAAGCTGGATTTTAATTTTTAATATTCTGTTGTTGTTGTTGTTAATGATTGTGTTGGGAAAAATTAAGGAATACTCTAAAAATAAAAACTTAATAAAAACTTCACCCTTAGAAATCAAGCATGCACTAAAGCCACCTGCCCTGAAGCAATCTATCAAACCCTAGGCACCTTAGGATTCCATCTGTATGGCAGTGAGGAGCACCCAAGACAAAAGACAGGGACTGGACCTGCCCAAAGCAGGCATCTAGCAGGAGTTCTTCATTTAAAGCTGAGACCCAAAGATAAAGGAGGTAAGTTGGCAACGCAGAATAGGTCAGCCCAGAAAAACTTGGGAAAAGGAAAAACTTTATCCCAAGAACTTATAACCACAAGCCAGCCTTCATATAGATTGTAGACCAAATTCGTAGACCAAATGTAGAAAAAACAAACAAGGAAAAAAAAACCCTCGCGCCACGAATTTAGATCCCAGAGATGCGGAAAAAAACAAAGACAAAATCTCTTCTAAAGGAATGCACCTTCAACCAGGACTCAAAGAATTCCCACAGAAAAATTTCCAAAGACCATGAGCTCACAGCAAAACAAAATAACACAGAACATATGGTACAAATACCTGAAAGCAGAAACAACAAAAGGCAGAAACAGACCCTCAAAGCCTTCAGATGCTGAAATAACCAGATACAGGATCTGAAATGTTTAATAGGCTTTACGAATTAAAAGGCTATTATATTATATTGTATTATGTTATATTATATTGGTCATATATTATCTAGCCTTTTATAAAAGGAATAATATATGAACAAGGAACAAGAAGCTATAGAAATTAAGCAGGCATAAAAAAGTTTAGAATTTTTTTAATTAAAATTAAAAACTAAATGAACAGACCAGAGAACTAGAAGATAAATAAAATTATGCAGAATGCAATATAGGGAAACAAAGAGATAGAAAATAAAAGAATTAAAGAACGTTAAAGATGCAGGTGAGAAAGTCTAACATGCCTGAAGATCTAAAAGGAGACAAGAGACAATGAAAACGAGACAATGTTTTAAGAGATAATGGCTAAGAATTTTCTAGAAATGTGGAAGACACTAAATCTCAAAATCAGAAAACCCAGTAAAAAGAAGAGCGCAAGCAAAAACAGAAAAAGAAAAGAGAAAGCTCAAGAAATCCCTAAAGATAACACAGAAAGAAATCTAATCATGGTCAAACTAAAGAACCCCAAATACAAAGAGATCTTAGGAACAGCAAAAGGCAAAAAGCAGACTCTACACAAAGGAAGAGCAATGGGACCAACAACTGATTGCTCAAGCACCAACCACGGTGAAAAACCAAAAGAAAACAGAGGCTGTTGGAGCTCAGGGGAGAGTGAGAGAGACACCTTTAGAGACAAAAGAGGGAGGGAGAGCTCGGGTGTGCTCCTGAGAAAGAGAGGGAGCACGCCGGGGTAGGTTTTAACTGGAGCTCCTTGCTCAGGATCAGGGACTTGAGGTACATTTGCTAGGGCCTGGTCTTGGCTGGGGATTCAACCAGGGTGTTTTCCAGGAACGACACCTCAAAAGGGGCCTCAGCTGGAGTGCTTGCAGAGGCTGGAGACAAGAGCTATGCATCTGCCAAAACCATAGCTCTTAACAGAGGCTCCTCCAGCATGTTTGCAAAGCCTGGGGCTCGCCCAAAGGTTTGCTGGGACTAGACCAGTCTGTCTGGGGTCAGGGGCTCAACTGGTGTTATGTGACAGGACCAGAGACTTGCCCAACATTCAACAGAGCCAGGTCAAGCACTATGCTGCGTGTTCCATGAGGCCAGGGCCCGGGGTGCAGCCTGCAGAGCTGAGCTAATGTCGAAGAGACAGTGTGCATGGCTGGGAGATTAATTACATACAGAAAGACTGGACAAGTACATCAACTGAAGATAACAGGGCCTGGTTTTTCCCTGCCAGAGAAGGGAGTTACAGATTTGGAAGAGAGAAGACTAGAATAAACCCTGTGATAATGATGTAAATTCATGGTTTTTAATATATAGATACAGAAATAAATACAGATGTAAATATGGATGTATGTATATACATATACATACTTCCTAGCTATGCCTGTTGAAAGGCTTTAAAAGAATCCAGAGCTCCTTGGAGAAATTACTCATTCCAGGGCTGGAGCAAGAAAATATAATGAGGCTAAAATATCTTCTTGTATCAGAAAATAAAGAAGTGCTCAAAGATATGTTGAAAAAACACAGAAGCCAATTTGAACAAGCTCCCACTGGCCAAATCTGGGATAATTTGAGCACCAAAATAGTAATAGTAATAAATTATAATCCACTGAATGAATTAGGAACCTGTGAGTCCATACTAATATCAATACATAAATACATAAACTCAATGTTTGATGAGAAACAAGAACATGGTTTCTAAATAGCTCACCATAAAACACTAATTAATTATAAAGAGTAATAGCCAAAAACTGGAAGTAATCCAAATTTCCATCAACAGTGGATAAACAAACTGCTATTTCTAGTTAATGGAATGCTACACAACAATTAAAAGGAATGAACTACTGTTGTACATCACTACATGGATGAATCAAAATAACTATGTTGAGTGAAAGAAGCCAGGGGGAAAAAAAGGAGTACAGACTGTATAAATCCATTTTCATAAAATTCTAGGAAATGCAAAGTGCTGTACTGTGATAGAAAGGTCAGTAGTTGCCTGGAGAGGCTGGGGGAGAGATTGGGAAGGAAGGAAGGGAAGGGGCTCCTAGGGGCACGAGGAAGCTTTGGAAGCAATGGATGTGCTCACTACCTCAACTGCGGTGATGCTTTCATGGGTGCACATATGTCCAAACTTTGCAAATTGTATCCTTTAAGTATGCCCAGTTTCTGGTATGCCAATTACTCTACAGTAAGGAAGACTGGCAAAAACCACTTCATTCAAGTGACCAAAGTTAACATCACCAGTAATGGGACAAATGAAAGTCGTGTGCCATCACGTAGGCTGTAATGGGAATAACACAGAATGACTTCTGTGGTATTTCCGGACTGAAAGAGACTGAAGGGATATGACAACTAAACATAAAACTTGATACTGCACTGGGTCATTTTTGGACATTTTGGGGACGGCTGGCAAATCTGGAATGGTAGTACTCAAAAGTACTAATGTCCCAATGTTAATTTCCTAATTTAGATGGTTGTATTGTGGTTGTATAGGAAAATGTCTGTGTGTAAAAAACACCCTGAAGCGTGTAGGAACGATGGGCCATTGTGTCAGCAATTTAAAATAAAAGTTCTTTGTGGTGCACCTGCAACTTTCTAGAAGTGTGAGCGTTTCGAATTGATTTTAATCTCAAACTATTAAGAATTAAAGAAAAATAATTAAGAACACATCTTGCCTTTCCTGAACTGTATTTTAGGGTTATGAATAGCCCTGGTTGATGAAAATGAATTCTTATTTACAAAAGAATTCTAGGAGGAAAAAAAAGGTAGAAGGAATAACTAAATTATAAAAGTATTAGGTAAGTGCTTAAGGTAAATAGATTACACTTTCTTGCCCAAATGCAGCACAGTGTCCTAAGTTAAAATGCCAACCAAATGGAATCTTCATAAAAGCCTCAACAGTTGGGTGGAGGTTATCTATCATAAGCCACAAAGACCAGAAGCACACAACCTGCCATGTCTAAACAGGAAAGAGTTAGCCAAGTGTTTCCCTCTCTTCCGTCCCATAACTTTGCATCAGTATCTACTGAATTTTTATATATGCCTAGAATTGTGCTACATCCTACAGCAAGGTTTAAGCCCTATTCTCCCCTAAAAAGGAAATGGGGTAGGAAGTAGAGAGAAGAGCTAGAGAGAAAAGAAAAAAGAAAAGAAAAGAAAGAGAAACACAGTCATTATTCAATACACAGTCAATCTGATTTGAATTCTGCAGTACTGGCCCTAAGTATCAAAGGAGGGAAATCTGTAAGTATAGAACAGTGAATAAACCTTGTCAGGAGGGCTAAGCCTTGAAAGATGGGTAGAATTTAGCTACAGCTTCATCTCTAGACTGTAAGGTTCACAAAACAAAATAAAAAAATACAAGGTCCTCATGTGTCTGTCTGTTCACTGCTGTATGCCTAGCATCTATCAGAGTTGGTTCCTCAAAAAAATACCTCTGGAGTGAGCAGATATTTAGTTATCACCAAGAAGACAGAAATACAATGTCCTAGTGATCTAAAATCTGTCTACCTGTTCAATCTGACACTCAATCCTTCACACTCTGCTCCAGCCATTCCACACTCCTCCAATTCCCGAACACACAAGGTCAAGTCTCTGTGTCTCTCTTCGTACATATTATATACCCTGACTGACTTCTCCACCTAATAAATTCTTACTGATTCTTCAGAAGTCAGTTCAAGCATTAGCCACTTTGTGAAGCCTTCTCTGATCTCCCAAGTTTAGACGTTTTTTCTTCCTATATTCTAGCACCTATCCCACTGAGTTCATTGACGTCCCTAGCTAGCACCTTAGCACAGTGACTGGAACACGGCGAGCATTCACAAAAATTTTTTTTTATTAAATACCAAATTTAGCAGGAAATAAAAAGTCAAAGATAAAACTGGGAATAATTAAAGATTTTTCCTATTAAAAAAAGTCATGATGAAATTGGTATTTAGAAAAATCAATCCAGTGCTGATGTACAGGAAGACATAACAAAGGCCAAGAGAGAGCCTAGGCGAGAAGAGCAACAGGAAGTGATGATGACGGCAGCCTTCGGGGACTGGCGGGCTGGCCACGGCTCACCGCCCCTCCACAGCGGTGCTGTCCACTCAGTGAGTCTGTGATGAGGTAACTGTTCCCTAGCTGCACCCTCCAAAACCATACGCCAGTAGCTACTAAGCATCCGAAATGTGGCTAGTGAAACTGAGCCACTAAGGTCTCAATTTCATTTATTTTACTTTAATTTAAACTGTCACATGTGGCCAGTGGCCACTATACTGGATGGGAGCTCTAGCTAGCAATTGTGGCAAAATAGCGGATATTTTCTATCAATAAAAGGAAGCACTTTGTAGTAATTACGGATGCTAACAATGGAATGGGCTCCCTCTCAAAGTCATCTTGGGAAGTGCCCAAGGAAAGAGGAGATAACTTTTTTGGATTTCACCATTAGGATGGGTGGAAAGATGGCCTGGAAAGGATCACATTATTTTTGCCCAGAAAGGATTCAAAGATCATTTTTACACAGAAGAGAACCTTGGTTTGGAAGTTAGATAAGTTATCTGATGTCACACAGGGAGTCATGAGAAAATAGGAACTACACACCAGATCTTAAAACACTACGTTCTGTTCACTGTCTTGATTGCAATAATTTCATAGGTGTATGCATATGTAAAATGTCATCAATTGTACACTTTAAATGAGACATTATAGGTTAATGATACTTTTTTTAAAAAAAAGCTGTTTTAAAAAAGCACACTACACCTACCACTCTACCATCCTATGCCAACTCTTTAGTATCTCATAAGACTAACTACGAGGATAAATTAGTTCATATATATTAAAGGTTAGAGCAGGTCTTAGTACGGAGTAAGCACAATAGAAATGTTAACTGCATTATCACTACTAAATACTAGAATTCTGCCCCACTGACCAGTTTGGAGAAACATAATCTGGAGTCAGAAACTCCAGATCATAGTTCTGGCTCTTGAGCAATCTCTCTGAGTCTCAATTCTTTGTAACTGAGTTACTTAGCTGGACAAGATAATCTCTAACGGGCCTTTCCAAACTACAGGTTCCAAACTACAGGATAAGAGTTGCAGAAATGGAAAAGAAGAGTGAATATGGGGACTCTTCAGGAAGAACTGATAAGATTTGAGAACTGGCTTGGATAAGCAGGATGGAAAACAGTGAATCAACTATGAACACAAAGGTTTGAGCTTTGGCTGACTCAAGGTTTAAATAAAAAGAAGGGCAGGTTGACCCAGTAGAAGTACATTTATTATTTCACCAAATCAGTAGGCACTCCATGGAAATGAATATTCATGACCTTCTGGATCAAAATGTCAACTAGTACATTTAAAACATAGGCTAAAACCAAACTCTCTTCTCAAAACCAAAATCTCTATGTTAAATGGAATCCCTACAGATACTTATAACTAGATAATCATATTCAGCATATTTAATAACATTCATTACAGAGTATCAAATTATTTTAAAAAATCAGTGCTCACATCAGTCACCAAGAGACTAATCTCTTAAACTCTTCCACTGGGAAACAATCTAAGCCTGAAGCCGCTCCACTGCCTGCAGACGTCACAGCAGAGCCCTTGGACAAAGCATCACATAGAACCTGTTTCTCTTAGGCAGCGACTTCTTCACGAGCTCACCTTCAAACAGCTAAGGCGCGGAATTACGGTTCACACACGACACGGAACATATTTCACGTGTCAGATCCTACAACAGATGGCCACGTGCCCCTGAGCAGCCTTTAGAGAATCACGGTGTCATTACTGTGTCATCCACAAGGGGCGCCTTCGCTCATGCTGAGGAACGCACTTTCCAAGACTCTAAGCGACTCCCTTCACAGCTGTGGTCAGCCCAGCAAAGTCAGGCTGACACTGATGGGCTCTACGCCACTACACTGTACTGATGTGACATTCCTGGACAAAAATACTAAGATCACAGTTGCTCAGAATATACACTTGCTCTGTTTCATACACTGAAAAAAATCCTGCCAACTTTTTGATGATCCCTCAAGGGCAACATTTCAAATACAATATTCTTCTCTGGACACCGAACAGTATTTCAGTTACAACTGACTGCTTGGTCAACACTTGGGTCAAATTCCAGAGCAAAACATTTTTTTAAATAAAATTGTTTATGAAATGTTGCAGTTTAAGACTATCTACAGAGTTATTCAGACACAGCCAAAATGGACCAATTTATGACTAGATAAAATGAAAAATGTCTTGATTAGCCTAGAACAGCAATATAAAAAATTCTTTGTTGCAAGGCAAAGCAAATGATGTGCTGCAGCACCCTGGAGAGAGACCCTGAGACCACTGGGGGAATGAGTCACTGAGAGCCCGATTTTCCAGATCTCTTAGTTAACCCTTTCTGTTTGGAACGTTAATTTTACCTCTTAGAACTCTCTCTAAAATATACCATTATGGTTCCTACCTTTTAAAATAGCACATAAGGAAAGTATTTTCTCTTTAATAAAGCATCATCATTATGAACATTAGTCAAAGATATGGTAAAGATATAGCCATTAATGTAATTTATATGATACGGAATAAATCTGCATTAATGACTATATCAAACTTCATTTCCTTAAAAAAAAAAACTGCCAGTGATACCTTGTTTTCTGTTCATTTACCAATTTCCCATAAGAGCATAATAAAACATAGTAAACTGTGTAATAGCCTATGCAGTATAATGAAATTACCTTTTTAAAAAAATAAAATGGTGGGCTGAATCCTGATGCCACCCTCCTCCAAATGCTTTCGATATCTCTTGGAAAAGATCAACTTTTTCCCCCATTACTACCAATGACATTTAGCTCACCCATGGCTTTCAAAACTTTACCCAATTTTGCCCTGACTAGAGTGGCTCAGTGGGCTGGGCGTTTTCCCGCAAACTGAAAGGAGGCCGGTGTGATTCCCTGTCAGGGCACATGCCTGGATTGCCAGCCAGGTCCCCAGCTGGGGGCGTGCGAGAGGCAACCAATCAATTGATGTTTCTCTTCATACAGAAACATGAATGTTTCTCTCCCTCTCACTCTCCCTCCCTTCTTCTCTCTCTAAGAATAAACAATAAAATCCTTAAAACCAAGAAAACTTTACCCATTTCATGAACTAGATGTTTATCCCCACTATTCTTTCTCCCTTGCACGAAGTTTGTTTATAGACTGTCTCTCACTTAATTTCAAAAATATGCAATGGCATGAATGGGGGAAGACTTAGTCTACACATTTTCTTTTCTTTTTTTTAAGATTTTATTTATGCATTTCTATACAGAGGGGAAGGGAGAGAGGGAAGAGGGGAAGGGATGGTTGCCTCTCACATACCCTCAACCCAGGGACCTGGCCCATAACCCAGGCATATGCCCTGACTGGGAATCAAACCAGCGACCTTTTGGTTCACAGGCCGGTGCCTCAACCCACTGAGCCTAATAATTTGTGATATTCCACCTTCAGAGAAAAAAAAGAAAAAGAAAGAACCTCAAATAAAGTCACTAATACCTGTCAAATAATAAGCTAAAAAGGAATGTGTCAGCCAAGAAATTAAAATGAAGCTACATGCCCACATCGAATAAAACTCTGCTACATACCTTGATCAATACAACCTTCAGCCACAGCAAAAAGCTGAGGAGAGCGTTCCTCAAGCAACTGCTGATGAATATTCACACACCTCAAAGTCCACCATGGCAAGCTCTAGAAAAAGAAAGCACTATGTAAGCTAAAATAAAAGGATGCTTTGGAAAAATTTTTTACATTAATTTTTAGAATTTTTTTCACTTTTGTGAAACTGGGCTTACTCAATAAGCTTCCCCATCCACTGCTCTGTCTTCAGTAATAGTACCCAAATCCGCCTCTCCGTCTTCCACAAGAATCCCCCTTCCTTCTCTCAAAGCTTGTTGTTTCGTCTACTGGGCTTCCTGGCACCATTTCGAACTCACCATTTCCTCCTTTATAATGTCTGCTGTAACCATCCTGCACTCCGTCAGCACCGGCAGTTCTGGGAGGCTTTCCCCAAGGACCTCCTGGGGGTGGGGGGTGACAGTGCCCTTCATCTGCGCTCCCAGCACGTTTTTGCAGACACACGCCACTATTCCTGTATGTCACCTCTAGCTTCCTGTGTTGTCTGCCATTTAGCCAACAAGGTGAGAAATCATGTCCTACTCATCTCTGTGTCTTTCCCAAAGCAATGTGCTTTGCACAAGCTACCAAGTGAGAAATACACTGGATTCAGATATTGCCCCAAATCAGGATGTTCCCTTCCACAAGTCTGTGAAACCTTTCCCATGAAGCCTCTGTCACCAGTGCGGCACACGCTGGTGTCTCACTTCTGAACTTCTCTGCTGTCCCTACGGCCAGACCACGGTGGAAAGCTCTTCTTTCTCAAGTGTATACCTCTACTTAGCCCCTCCACGTTTCGAGGGAAAAGGCTGCATTTTAGCCACTGTCTTGACTAACTCACAGGCTGAGAACACAGTGGTCTTTTTCTCTCTTCTAAGCTTGTTCTTACTTGATCAATACACCCTTATTTTTAAAAAAGAAAAACAGACAACAACAAAAGGTTATTCAGAAGCAAGCACAGTGAAGGGGGAAGATCTCCTTCCTGCCACCCACTGCCATCCTCCCTCCTCAGAAAACTCCAGGACAAAGGCTCGTATTTCTACATCTTCCTCCAGGCACATGTATGTGTGAGAGCACGCACGCTTGTGTGTGTGTAAAATTCTATTTTTGGTAGACGTGTTAACATATCAAGTATCATCATGCATAGAATCATCTAAATTAATTAAAACTATTACTTCAAATTATATTGTAATGCTGTGAGAAACTGATTTTTCTTTTTTTTAAAGTAGTACCTACTCATAGAAGATCATGCTCAATTACCAAAAGCACTATTTTACTTGAACTTAACTTCTGCATTTGATTAAGAGGTAAAACTACCTAGCTCCCCTTCTAAACTGCTACACACCACAACAGTTGGGACAATGACACAATCACAGATGAATTTTGACTCTATGACAGTCCTTTCTAATTATTAATGCTGTTTCCTCCATCCATATAAGGAAAGGTAGAATTATCTAATAAAAAGATGTTTCACATCATTTCTAATGTAATTCCCTGAGGCGTTGCCTCATTCTGTTCCTATCAGTAAAGCTAATGAAGTCAGTCTACACATCAATTATCTGTCCCTTATCCTCTGTCAGCAATAAGTGAGTCAGGGTTGGCAGCATATTCTTCCCTTTTCTAGACATGGGAGTGCAGAGAGATCCACAGAGACTGCCCTTGTAAGAAAACATACGACCTAAGATGCTGGACTCTTAAAAATCAGACCTATAAACTAACTCTTAACCCAAAAGCTTTATATAGAATGGGGAGGGCAGAACAAATAGAGCATAGCCTATGTTCTACCTGAAAATGAAAGGCCCTTTTCTATTTGCCAAGAATTGCTTCATAGAAAATTTGAGTGGTTAATAAAAAAGAAAATTTGAAGCCTTGCTTTAGATAGTTTCTAGATCCCATCTCCTGATTACAGGGCTCAGTACAGAATGTTCTGATTGAGAAATCCCACTAGTCAATAACCTCCCAGAAGGTAGGGAGCATTCGTATACTCAAAGGCACGCAATAAATGCTTGCCAGCTTATTCCACTTTATAGTAAGGAAACTGATATTCAGAGATATCAGAGATATGCTTAACTAGCATAAGGTCACACAGTTAAGTGGCTGAGCCAGGTAAACTCTGGTCTGATTTCAAAGCAAGGACTCTTCACTCAACATTTACCTACTACTAAAACTAGCATACATATTTCACAGATTAGAGGGTAAGAGAAGATCATCTCCCACAGTTCCACAAAAACAATTTTGTAATCAACAACTTGACACATTTCTTAGGCGTCAACCTATTCAAAATTAATTTAAAAGATTATCATTAATTTGGATGAGTATGTTATGCTTTTTAACCATTTTATCTTTATCACAGAAGTCATTTTTAACATTATCATTTAGAGAATATCTTCAAGACCCAAAGAGAAAAAAACTTTAATGTTTCCTTTGAGAGACAAGATTTCAGCACAGAATGATCTTCGTTTTGCGTGGTGATATAAAACAGGATTAGAAGCTGAAGTCAAAAGTTGTTAAGCATGTGCCAAGAAATTCACATAACTTGTCTCCCCAACCCTCCCAAGTACGACTTCACATATGAACTTGTTCTCGCTGCTCATAGTACACGTAGCTTCATTCAAGTGATGCTTAACATTCTTGCTGTTGAAAGTTTTCCACCAAAGACACTTAAAATTGCATCACTCACTCATTAATGACCACTAGTCTCACTAGAAAGAAAATGCTGCCATCTGGCAGCCTTGGTGATACTTTTTTCAGAGTCAAGTACTATCAGTTAGTCTATAGGACCATTTAACTCAGATCAACTTGGGAACCAGTTTTTTTTAATTCAAACTAATGTCGCTAAAATATCAGAGATAAGAGCTTATATCTGCTAGGATGTGTTGAAAACCATCTATTAAAAACCATCTAGTACAACTGATTCCAAATAAACCCTTTGGCTCTCATTAGAGTTGCTGATGGAGGTACCACCCCCCTTATTGCCTCTTCTCCGTCTGTACTTGACTGCTCGTGAAAGCCAGCCCTTGTACAGCACAAACCAAGTCTACATTGTGCCCACAGAAATTCTGTTTCTTAAAGTTTTCCAGCCACCACTTAAAAATTGGGAGACTCCACATAAAATTTAGATTTAGTATTGGCAGAAGAGGATCTGAGTCCCCAGGCCGCAAAACCCAGAGCATAAGGAAGCAAGTCACAGCCTACGGGCCAACGCGGCCCGTCGCCAGCATTTGTGCAGCCCAAGAAGAAAGAATAGTTTCACATTTTCATCTTTCAAAAAATACAAAAGGAGCATAACATTTTGTAACATGTGAAAATACATAAAATTAAAATTGTAGTGTCCATTAATAAAGCTTTATTGGCACAACACAACAGTACCCATCGGTTCCCAACTGTCCACAGCTTCTTTCGCACCACAGTGCAAAGCTGGACAGCGACACAGACTTGAGCAGTTAAAACAGAGACTGCACAGGGCACGCAGACACCTCCACTCACCCTCCCAAGGCTTTCTTCGCATCTCCTGTGGTTTCCTCACCTCCTCACACTGCCTGTTAGCTTTCTGTGAATCTGAGTGCTTCTTCTCATTAATTTACATGTAAATTAAGAAACCATGTAATAGATACTCAACAAATGCTCTGATAAGTCCAACCCAAATAATGAAACTAGGGTAGTCAAACGCCAGGAAACAGTAACTAAGATCTACTGCGACCATCTGCCTACTGCTCATTATCTTACATGAAATTCCTGAGAGACTATGAAGAGACAAATTTTAAACCTATATTTTAGATTCAGAGAATAAACATTTATACACATGCATACACATACATACATACACACAATCCTATTAAAGAGGCACAATATCTCATTTTATACTAGTGAATCAATCTCATGAGGGGAGAAAGTTTTTTGCTTATTTTCATCAGAGTTTAACATTAAATACCTAGAACACAACTTAGACAACAAGTATATCAAGATATTGCCAACATCACACCTAAAGTCTGATGCTAATCAGTGCGCAAGTGCCACCTGGGTCGGAATCTGCTGGCCCCTTTTCTTCCCTTACCTGCACTGCTGTCAGCTTATGTCTCACGTTCACTAGGATGACTCGGGCGAGTAACAGCAGCGTGGGCTTTGAGGTGAGGCTGTAGATGGATTCACCATCTAGAACGAGCAGACTCAGGACAGCTGCATCCAGTCCTTTCGCCTGAAAAAAAATTGTAAACTAAGATATGTAATTTAACAAAATCTTATTAAACTTTATATGTCTTGCAATTACACGTACTTTCCAGGTCTGAAGCAAAGGCACTGATCTATTACGTAGCAACTGGCACCGGACAGGACCATAGCACTATAAATGCCCTTCGAGATCTGCAAGTCCAGTCTGCCCTGCCAACTGCCCATCTACTCATACTTCAGAGGAAAAGAGAACTCAAGACGGTGCTAGTAGTGGAGAGGCATCATGACTTTACAGATTCATTTAAAACAAAATACCATCTCAATCAAAAGCCCTATGTTAGATTGTTTATATTAAACATATTTCACACAGGCTTCTCTAGCTGGCGAATGTCATTACAAAGCACATCTGCTCCATAATTACTATCACGTCAACACCAAGGTCTTACATAGCAAATGCTGAGCAGGCACACAACCACGGAGCAAAGAGAGCAGAAAGCTGTCAAAAACGGATGCCTTTGAAAAACCCACTCCTTGACTGAACAGAGATTTTGTACAATGGACAAGGCCCTGTGTTTCTAAAACATGAACTGTAGCCCTAGCCAACCCGCTCTGTTGGTTGCAGCGGAGTCCAACCTTTTGGCATCTCTGCACCACATGAAGAAGAAGTATTGTCTTGGGCTGCCCATTAAATACATTGTGACACATAATCACAAAAAAAATTTCATAATGTTTTAAGTAAATTTACGATTTTGTGTTGGGCTGCATTCACAGCCATCCTGGGCTGCATTTGGCCTGCGGGCCACAGGCCGGACACCCCTAGTAGGGCATCATCCTAATACACCAAGATTGCAGGTTTGTTCCTCGGTCAGGGCACATACAAGGAGCAACCAATGAATGCATAAATGGATGGAACCACAAACCAATGTTTCTCTGCCTCTCTCAAATTTAAAATAAATAAAATCAGCCCTGACTGGTGTGGCTCAGTGTATTGAGCACTAGCCTGTGAACCACAAGGTCACCAGTTCGATTTCCTGTCAGGGCACATGCCTTGGTTGTGGGCAAGGTCCCCAGCTGGGGTAGTGTGAGAGGCAACTGGTTGATGTTTCTCTTGCACATTGCTGTTTCTCTCTCTTTCTCCCTCCCTGCCTCTCTCTCTAAAAATAAATTTTAAAAACCTTTAAATTTAAAAAAAAATACAAGAATAGTAAAATAAAATGTGGGCTGCATAATTTTGACAGCTGCCACAAAATGGGCAGTAGGAATGCTTAACTGTTAGGAATATGGTCTCTCATCTCTGAGACACAAGATGGTGTCCTTTGTCTGCTTCTTACTAGTTTGTGGACAGATAAATTTTTTAACTGAAGCCTCAGTTTCATCAACTATAAAATAAAATAGAACATGTACCTCATAGAGTTCTTATAAGGATTAAATTAAACTGAGAAGTATAATAGAGGAATAAAGACAACATAAAAGACAACCACCAAACCACATCAAAAAGCTTCCTCTTACCTCCACTAAGAGCACAGGAATTTTTCAAAGATTCAACAATTAAGGAACTATTTTGAAGTTATTACAACTGCATCAATTTTCAAAGTCAGGCAACAGATCCAAAAAAGTTAGGTGAAGCCCAAAATCACACAGCAGTGAGGATCTAAACAGAGATTATAGCCCAAGTTTTCCAACTCCCAAACCAATGTTTTTCGCACTTCATGCTGCCTTCCCTGCAGACCTCTCTTCCTCTCCTGCCACTCAGCAAGGTCAGGGCTGTGCTAAGCATCAGGAAGGGCTCAAGTTCAGACCCGGGATCACTGGCAGCCTTCACACCAACACGACCTCGTTATGGCAGTGAGGGTAGCTGAAACGCACACAGTAGACGACCTGATTTGGAGAAGAACCTCCCCATGAGCTCAGTGTTGAACGCACTGAGTCAGGTATCTTGTAAGACCTCCACATGGGGGTACAGAGTACACAAGTGAACATACTTACTGACACCTCGAGAGTACAACCTGCCTACTGTGCCCCAAGTGGACCTGCGGCCTCATTGAATCAGCTTGTCATCTAAATGGATACAACAACCTTTATTTCCTAAGGTCCAAACCAAACTGGTGAGGCACAAGAAGATATGAGATGCCTTTAAGAAAAAGAGTCCTTATTCTAATGACATTGAGAAATACATGGACCTGTTCCAGCACAAATCTAGATCATTATTTTCTAAAGGAAATCCCTAAAGATAAATAACAAGTAATTTAATAGGAAACAAATACAAAATTATGTCGAGATAGCCTATAATATACTACCTGAAAGTTTTAACCTCTGATACACAAAACCAGGCATTGCTTACTAAACCTCCCTTGTACCCTTCAACTCAAAGTTCTCTGGAAATGGTGTTAAAAAGGCAAATAATAATAAATAAATGAGTGACAAAGTAAATAAACCAGTAAATAAGAAAATTTCTCTTTCTAGTGTTACCCCTGCATCTTCACAAAACAATTCAATGCTTCCCTGTTCTCTGCTGAAGTACATCAGCCTCTGCCTACCTGTCATATAACATTGATATTCCAGCTGAGTTCTAAACATGCTTCCAGAGGTTTTGGAAATTATCCATTTTTAGGGAGGATTGTTTATATTTTCAATAAAAACAGAAAGAAAAGGTTACAACTCCCTAACAAACAATTCCTCAGTCAAGAGAGCATATGACATTAAAAACAAAACAAAACATAACACACACACACATATTTAACAGCACAATAGTGAAAAATTGAACATCTGGACACCTAAAGTAAACTTAATACTTAATTAATACTTAATAAGGTAAAACTTTAATACTTGAAACTAGATTACCAGGAGATCCCCCTTTGTGTGTGCGAGGTGACCTCCTGCTCAGACCCAGCCCTTCAGGGCTGCCGCTCCGGGGCTGATCGGCACCAGAGGTCAGAAGGCAGCTCTAACAAAGCCAAGGCCATAAAATGAGAAACAGGGAAGAGTAATCTGGCTTTGGTGACTAGACTCCAAGACCATAAAGTATATTCACAAATATTTGTGCATCGCAAAGAGCTAAGAAAGATGAATCAGTTTTATATGCTACATATGAGTGAAATCATATGGTTCTTGACTTTTTCCATCTGACTTATTTCACTTAGCAAAATAAGATCTATAAAGCTAAAAGCAATAAATGAACAAACAAAACAAACAAAAACTCATGGCCACAGACAACAGTATGGGGAAGGGGGTGGGGGTGAGAAAATAGAAAAGGGTATAAAGGTAGTCAAATATATGGTGACAGAAGGAGACTTGACTTTGGGTGGTGAACACACAATGCGATATGCAGGTGATATAGAATCGTACACCTGAAATTTATATAATTTTAATAACCAATGTTGCACCAAAAAATTTAATAAAATTTAAAAATAAAATAAAACCATTAAACTTTTATAAAAAGAATAAGATGAATCAGCACGGGAAAATGACAACTAGAAAAAACAGCCCAGTTTAAAAACTTCAACTCCCTCTATCTTCCCATTCCTCAGATTGTTGGTAAAGAGGATAAATTGTACAATCCTTTTAAAAACAACCTGGCATTAACAAGGAATGTTGAACATGCATACACCCTTGGGCAAGAAACTCTACTCACACGTGTAACTAACCGGTGCCGGGAAGAGGTCACAGGTGCGGGAATATTGATCCCCTCAGCACTCAGCGTGCCCGACCATAACCTGGGGCCAGTGAAAACAACTTCCTCCATTTAGTGCGCTGCACCAAACAAGCACTATCATTTCTTAAGGACACTGTGCTACGAAATGCTTCCAAATGATTTTCAGAAGATGTCATCCTAATGGCATTGTACATAATATGTATTGCAAAAAATGGAAATGACCCACATGGCCATCAAGAGTAGAACAGATATATGAATTATGGTATAGTCATACAACTGGAAAAATACACAACAGTAAATAATGGTATAATTTCAACAATATACCATTGAGCAAAGCAAATCACAAAAGAATACAGTGTGTCTCATTTAAATAACGTTCAAAAACTAGCAAAACTAAGCACTATGTATTCTAGGGATACATACAAAGGTGCTAAAACCATGGAGAAAAGTACTGGAATGATTCCCAAGTGGGTCATGAGCAGGGTGGGGCCTACATCGGGCACGGCGGGGTGCTGTCAGGAAGCACACACAGGGGACCCTCTCGGCAGCAGTGCTCGAGCTTGTCCAGGTCGGAGCAGTGGAGACGATGATAGATCAGTCGGGCCCACTACACAAACTACAGGGGCTGCTAAACCAGGAGCGGCCTGCTGGAAGGCACTCAACAGCCCGGCCCGCACGCACCACAATGGTGGGGGAACGGCTGTCGGGAAGCTCTAGTCTGCGGACCTGGCTCTGTTCTCTCAAGCAAGGCGGTGGGAACAAGGGATTTTATTATTTAAACTGTACACATTTTATATGCTTTTTTAAAAAATGTATGAAGTAGTTCTAGTAAAAACCAAGATCTCAGTCAGTTTCCTACAATCCGGCCTGAATCCCATCAAGTCTGACCTTTTACTGCGACTCCAACAGGCTCAACACATCCCTTTCCCACAAGCGTCACTCTCTTCTCCCCTCTAAATGTCTGCTTTTACGGTTGCTAGAATGTACTGGTATTTCTTCCTCTTCTCTACCTCTCCATTTCCTCATCGCCCTGCGGGTTCTTACTCGAGGTCCACTCCCAACTAAAAGGTCTTTTCTGAAAGAGTTCACACTCCACATACCTCTTCATCAATTTAGGTATTTCTTATAGTCTGAATCTCTCATGTAACCCATTGCTGTACTGCTGTGAAATGTTACCTGATGTTAATGGGGCTTCTATACTAGTGCAACAGAAAGAGTGCTGGCCTTGGACCCAGAAAATATGGATTCCAATCTCCCAGCTATCAGATTTGTGACAAGCTTCTCTCACCGCTTTGAGCTTCAGTCCCCTCATATATATAATACCTCAGATTACTGGACAACACACGTGAATTAAGTACCATTTGAACCACACATCAGTACTCAGTAAATATTATGCCACTGACTGTTGGATGGATTTCTAATCTACACTATAGGGCCATAGAAACCAGAAACTGTTTCATACAATATAAGGAAGGGAATGACATGCTCTGTATAATTTCTACATAATTGGAGCATATCTCTTTAAATGACATAAACTTTGGGATTTTATTTTAACCATTTTGGATGAAAATCTTTGTAAAGTGTAGACTGTATTCCCTTCTTAGACATAACATACAGAAGACTATTTAACCTTTCAATGATGTTTTAGCATCAGCACTATATTTCAGCTATTCTGCTGCAATGTAATCCAGGGACCCAGTAAACCGACACACACAGTGCGAATTATAATGATTCTCAGATGATGGCTTGCTTCTGCACTTCTCTTTCCACCTCACCATCAAACTATTAACATTTATCTCTAACAACTTTATTCATTTCACTTGCTATTTCTAATTCTGAGAAACCGGGTAACAGTAAACAGGCCCCTTTTGCTGCATAAACTTTGGGGGTTAGGGACCCTTTTTCCAGGCTGAGTGTTAATCATTACATTCAAGATCTCTGAGGTGGCCGGAAACACCAAAGTTACCACACTTCTTTTGAGAGCATGTCATATCCACCAAGCCCCAGGCGTATGAGCTCAAAAACTCCTGAGGAATTCAAACTGCAGGTTCCACTGATGACGTCTGGTGCAGGTCAATAATATTACCTTCGCATACAGATAATAATAATCGTTATCACCAGGGAGACTTCTGTGCCAGGCACTCAAGAAAGTATTTATAATATAAAGGGAATCACCCCTGGGACCTGTTCCTAAGGGTTGCAGCAAAGTTACCTGCAACAGATTTCCAAATTTGCTACTTTTCCAGAAAAGATCTTTATGTAACTACAGTAACATATGCATCCACGTATATATGAATAACTGGGGCAGCTGCCTGTGCTTTAAGAAAAGAACAGCTCGGCCCTGGCCGGGTAGCTCAGTTGAGCAGAGCATCATCCTGATACGCCAAAGTTAAGGGCTCAATCTCTGGTCAGGGCACAGACAAGAATCAACCAATGAATCCATAAACAAGTGGAAGAACAAGTTGATGCTTCTCTCTCCTTCCCTCCTTCTCTCTTTCTAAAATCAATAAATTTAAAAAAAAAAAAAAAAAAAAGTTAAACGAGAGTAGCTCACAGAGCTCCAGAAAATGGGGACGCCTGAGGAGGAGTCTGGGACTGGCGATGAAAATTCTGGAAATATGTAAAAATCTGATAGAGGAACAAGCATTTTGGGTAAGTTTTATACAAGCTATAAAATCATGCTTCATTCCTACCAACTAATAAATCCATTGTATAAAGACCAGTTCCTGAAGAATAAATAACACAATAATAACTACATAAGACATTTCCAAGAAGCATACCTCACCGAATTGCTGGAACAAAACAGACGGCAAAAACTCCTGAGGGTGTAAATCACCAGGAGGCCCCGTCCAGTTACTCTGAACAAAGAGTTGCAAACTGCTCACACCAATCAGGAATATCAGCTGTTGCCTGCATATAAGCATAGTTAGAGAAATAAATGTGAACCACTATCACTTTATAACCACCGACAAACTACTTCATTTCAGTTTTATTAAGAAAAATATAAGACATCAACCAACATTTATTAAGATTATCCGAGAGTATTACAAAAAAAAATGTCTTGCAACCTAAACAATTGAGGTCTGCAATGTTCAATACTGTAATCATGAGCCATATATGGTGCTTTTAAATTTAAATTACTTAGAATTAAACAAAATGTCAAATTCAGTCCCTCAGTCACACTGTCCACATTTTAAGTGCTCAAGAGTCAGATGAGACTAGGGGCCACCATGCTGGACAGCAGAGATACAAACACCTCCACCGTCACACGAAGTTCCTGTGAACAGCACTGGCTCAGATCCTGATCGGGCACTAGTACTTTCCCTGCGTTCTCTCTAACAGCTCTGACATTGCCACAAGACATAGGTTAAACTAATTTTATACAAAAGAAAACTGACAACAAAAAGTTGGTTTTAGACAACATTTTACTAATCCTGTGCTACCACGTGCTGGAACAAAAAGTCCCCTAGAAATTTCACTTGAACCTAGTTTTTTTCCATCCTGCTATGGCTTAAGCCATGGGATGTGTAAACTTTTTCTGTACAGGAAGATATGAAACATTTTTGGCTTTGTGGGTCACACAGGTTTCTTTTTTCCAACACTTTCGTCATAATTTGCTAACTCCAGGAGTAAGAAAAAATAGATGGGGATTCAACTCTACCAAGTAATAGCTAGAGAATCTTGACGTTTCATGCTGAAAACAAAAGCTTTCTTCTCCCTATGTCTCCTAGGCCCTACCTCAAAAGATTCTTTAAGAAAAAAAGAAGAAAATCAATCATACAAGCCTATGGTAGCCAGAATAGAAAGTGCTACATGCAGCATAACTGACAGCAAAGAAAAAAGCAGCACCAGAGAAAACAGGTGAAACAGGTGAGCAAAGGGCCTTTTGTGTTAGAAGTTTGGAAACCTGGGGAAAATAGGCATGTAGCAAGATCTTAAAGCCTTAATACAAAGAAAAACCAAAGTCTTTAAAGCGAGCCCTGACCTGTGTGGCTCAGCTGGCGGGCTTCGTCCAGCAAAACAAAAGGTCGTCGGTTGGATTCCCAGTCCAGGTATCTGCCTGGGTTGCAGGTTCAGTCCCCAATAAGGGTGCATATGAGAGGCAACCAATCCATGTTTCTCTTTCACATTGATATTTCTCCCCCTCTCTTTCTACCTCCCTTTAAAAATAAATGAAATTGCCCTGGCAGGTGTGGCTCACTGCATTGAGTGCCGGCCTGCAAACCAAAGGGTGGCCAGTTCAGGTCCCAGTCAGGGCACAGGCCTGGGTTGCAGGCCAGGTCACCAGTGTGGGGTGTGGGAGAGGCAACCACACATTAATATTTCTTCCCCTCTCTTTCTCCCTCCCTTCCCTCTCTAAAAATAAATAAATAAAATCTTTTAAAAAACTCCTTAAGGCAAACATAGTTTGATTTTCAAATTCCTCAAAATGGAGCAACTAAAATACCTCTTCTCAGCTCTATGTGACAAGCTGGAATTCTGCTTTGCCAGTGAATGACCCATTTGTGCGTACATGTGTGTTTCAATGTACACCGCAAAGCCAGTTTCTGTGATAACACACACACTTCAGACAGCATGACAACAGCCAGGACTGACACTGCAGGAATGTAAACTACTACTAAACGAGAAAAATGAAAAGGAGTGACACTAATCTTTAAAATAAAATAAAATGCCTCTGATAACATTCTTTTAACTCCTAATGGATACAAATTATGTCTTATTCCTATTCACAATGTGAGCATCTAGTACAGTAGTTGGGGATTTTTTTTTTTTTTTTTTTTTGTGAAGAACTAAACAAAGCCATTCTCTAGAAATAATGGTAAAAAAAAATGCATGCATTTTAAAGAAAATTAAAACTTGATATAAATGCCAAGATAGTAAAGGAAAGAAAGAGGTATATTAACAAATTTACAACAGTAAAATTTAGGTTTCACTGCTGTGTAACTATTATACCTAATCCTATAAAAGTATATAAACTTTAGTGGAAGAAGTCAAAACAAGGGTTCCATAATAGACGCATATGCTTTCTGATCTCTAGAAAGTTAACAATCTAAAACATAATAAAAGTGGTTACAAGTGTCACTCAGCAGTCTAGGAACACAAAGATGGACAGGGTATGCTTTCCAGCTCAAAGGAAATAAGGTCTCAAGTGTTGCCTTTGGCTAAAACCTCTCAGACTTAAGTATTTGGAAGCTTAGTGGGTTAGCTGTTACCATTAAGCCAGTTTAATATACAAAACCCTTATATCCTAAACAACTTTGCTTTTTCATTCTGATGATCACCTGGACAGAAGTTGTTATGTAGGTTACTTGGAACATTATGAGTCCTGACTAAATGTTAAGCCAGATTTTTCAATAACTGCTAAAATCAGTGCCTTACGCTGTCAAAGCTCTATTAAATGTATTAAGAGGCTATTTTTCTATGAAAACTTCAAATAAAATTCTACCTTTGGGTTTTGTCCAAATCTGGTGAGAAATCCAGGAATGTTAATATCTGCTTCTCTAGGTAGCTGTCAATCTTTTCTTCAGCCATCTTTGTTGAATTAAAAATATTTTGAGTCAATGAATTTAAGAATATGGTCTCATAGTTTCCTTCTAGCAGCAATTGTAGGAAAGATCCACTCTCTGTAATATAAAAAAATTAGTCCCATAATCCAAAAGAAGTTTTTTCATACGGTATAGGATAACACTATTAGATAAACCTACCTTTTTAGTATGTAAAAAAAATACATATTTAGAATGCTTGCTATACATTAACTAAAAAGCACTGAACAAACTCCAATCATTCTACAGACATCACTTCTAGAATTAGCAGCTCATCCACATGATGACCAGTAAAGAAGGAGACAGACCCAGGAATAATATTTTTCATTAGTAAGTACTCTCACCCTTCTGTTGGAAATCCAGAAAGATTGCTAATGGCAACAGAAAATTTTCCATAGTCAGAGATCTAGACATTTCACAGCCTGGCTCTTCCTACCCCCACTACACTCCCTGATGAAAAGCTGGTTCACTCATTGTTCCTCTAGTATCTCATGCACATGTCTGCCCCCACACTTTTATAATTGTGATTTCTCCTGCTGAACAGTTCTCCACTTGTCAGTCTTATCCTTTAATCAGACGTCAGCCGTGACCGGTATCGCTCAGGAGTATCGCCCCTCAAAGCAAAAGGTCGCTGGCTGATTCCTGGTCAGGGTACATTCCTGGGTTGAAGTTAGGTCCCGGGTCTAGGCACTTTCGAGAGGCAATCTGATCGATGTTTCTCTCTCACAGTAATATTTCTTCCCTCTCTTCTCCCTCCTTTCCTCTCTCTCTAAAAATGAATAAATAAAAAATGGAGAGCGGGGTGGAGGACAGAAATGAGCTCAAGTGTGACTTCTTCCAGGACACTTTTCCAGACCACCAGGCTTCAGAAACTACCTATCCTGAGGCTCCTACTGTGTACACACACAGCACTTACATACTGTCCTAAATGTTGCTTCTCTTCTGAGTCCAGGCTAATTTCCACAATCAGATGTGCCTTTTAATTCTTTATCTCGCCGGTAAAAGTGCACTGCTCACAAGAATTACATCTGTCCTGCCTCGTTTAAGCTTTTATGCTTAACAGCTGTGCGACTTTAAATAAATTACTTAACCAGTCAGTAGTTAAATGTCTTTATCTGCACATTGGAATGAAAACTAGCATCTACCTTAGGTGTCTATTATAAGGATTAAACGGCTAAATAAATGTTTTAAAAAGTAACTGCTATTGCCATTGTTATTATTTCTGATCCTGGGCCGTGAGAAGTTTAGGGTAAAGACTAGAGCCGAGCCTGAGGACCACGCCTGAGGACCACGCCCACCATGTCAGGAGGCTACCCTGACAGAGCCTTAAGAAACCAGCCAGCTTTTGGTAGGGACAAATAAAACAAGCAGAGATGAAAACACGGCCGTCGCCACCCCTTCTCCTCACAGTCCCTACGCTAGCCGCAGTCCCTAGCAAGTGCGCCTCTCTCACCTGAGCCAGCGACTCCCTCCTGCTTCCATTGCTGCCGCTCAGCCTCAGTGGTGAAGCCCCTCAAAACTGCCAGCTCCGGGGTCCACATCCCCCTCGACATCACCCCAGCCAAAATGGGTCCCCAGAAGGATCACAGAGGAATCTCAAAAGAAAGTGAAAGGAGGAGGGTCCAGAGACGCCGAAGTCTATCAGCGATAATTCCTGTGGATATACCCAGAACTCTAGAACCCCATGTGCTGATACCAGCCCAAGGGGGCCGCCATGACAGAAGCCCGGGGCATCCTGGGAAAAACATACGGACTCCGCATCGGCTTCCGCCTAGAAAACCAACCCAAGTCGGTGATACTGAACAAGCCCAGTGAAGATGCCCCGCCCCAGCGGGGAATGGGCGGGGTTGGGGCGTGGTCTGTCTCAGCCCCCGCCCCAAGGCGCGGCTGCGGCGGGTAGTAAATACGTAGAGGCGTGGAGTCCTTAGGTAAACTCACGGTAGGTTCCCGTTACAATGCTTCTCCTAGCAGAGATCTTGCCCGACCACGGCTGCTTTGGAAGGTTTACCGCTTTGATTCCTAAACCTTTTGCGGCCTGAACCCTCCTAAGTACCTGATGAAAGACGTAGTAATCCTTTTCTCAAAATGCACGTGGGCCCTGCCTACCAATATTTGGGTACCATTTAAATAAATCAGAGACCCTGTGCAGTGGAGTCCGTGAACCCCAGGTTAAGAACCCCGCAGCAGAGAAAGTCCTTATTCTTTGAATGAATTAAAATGTAAGTAAAGTATCTACCTGTTTTTGACGCCGCCAGAACATAACGTAAGTTATGACCGAGTGGAACAGCTGGCTCGGCCGCTGATGGAGGGAAGTTTTTTGAGGATAGACTGAACACTGCAGGAACCTGCCACCCTGCGTGCCTGCCGTGAGCAAAGGGCGCCTTTAATCTTCACAGTAGCACTCTAGGTGAAAACCAAGTTCTGGGAGTCGGGACGTGGCAGGCGGGACTGCGTCTCTGTGGGCTTGCAGCCCGCACTGTGAATATGCCATATGCTGTCGGGAAAAAGCTGCAGGGTAACCCTGACCACACAGGATTTGTGTAGTAATTAAGAGCAATGCATTTCTGAAAGCCCAGGACACCGGTTCAAGAAGGAAGCAAAACAATTTTTGTTTTAATTTGTATTTTCAGTTACAGTTTACATTCAACATTACTTTGTATTAGTTCCAGGTGTACAACATACCAATCATATACTTTACAAAGTGTTCCCTGCGATATTTCCAACTGGCACCATACACAGTTATTACAATATTATTGACTATTTCCTGAGCTGTGCTTTACATCCCCAATGACTGTTCTGTAACTACCAGTCTGTACTTCTCAATCCCTTCACCTTTGCCACCCAGTCCCTCACCCCCTCCCTTCTGGCAACCACAAGTCTGTTCTCTGAAGCTGTGAGTCTGTTTCTGTTTTGTTTGTTCATTCCACATTTAAGTGGAATTATGGTGTTTGTCAGGGACAATGCCACTAAGGCTCACACAATCTGCGCTTGATCCATGGATGTTTAGAATCTGCCCTGAGCAGTGTGCTTTAAAGACCTCCATATACCAATAAATCAAAGAATACCTGGCGGTTCCTGTCACTTAACATCCAATGACACAGGGTGACTTGAACAGCTGCTCTCTTTATTTACAGGGTTCAAGCTATAGAGGAAAGGTATCTCCACAACTTACCTATGTCCTTGAAACAACACGCTCCTGAGTCCAAATGCTGTAAAAGCTTTGTGGGTTGTGCTGCAGGTAATGTGGGAAACAGATGCTGATGAATTAGAAATACAGGAAGGATGGGAGTTGCAGACGCTCTCTCTCAGCATGAATGCAAGAGATTCTTGCATAATTGTTATTTCCCAGTAGTGATTCACATCCACACACAAGAGAATATGTGAAGATGGTGGCAGAGGTTGGAATGATGCATCCACAAGCTAAGGGATGCCAGCAGCCACCAGAAGCTGAAAGAAGTAGAAAACAGATTCTCCCCTAAAGCCTTCAGAGGGATTGTAGCCCCGCCAACACCTTGATTTCGGATTTTTGGTCTCCAGAACTGTAAATAAATGTTATTTTAAGCCGCTGAGTTTTTGGTAATTTGTTACAGCAACCCTAGGAATTAATGCAAGTATTCCCTTGAAGAAACAAAGTCAAGATAATTTTTTTGAAATATATAATAATGTTATGCATGTCTTCATTTCATTACTTATCCAAACAATACTGGCCAATCAATAGAATACTTCAACATGGCCAATAACTAAATTATTTTAATTATTTTGATGCCTAGAATTCCTATTAAAAAACATAGTTTAACACATTTTATTTTTTGTTATGAAGGTACATTTTTCAGAGTTGGATATTATAGGACATTTGTCACATCATACTTTGGTTACTAACCTAAATATTTAGACATATGGCATATGCATCTCCATTTGTATCTTGCCTCTTAGCTATGGGCCGACTTCCATGTGACCTGATCTTTTTACAGTTTGCAACAAAAATGAAGAATTCCCCCTTCCAATCTCCCTTCCTGTCCTCAATTTGTTTGGGGTCTGAAGACACCTCTCTAGCCAACTGGTCCATGTGATCGAGGTGACCTGTGCTTTTATGCATCAAGAAGAAAGCCACTTCAAGGTAACATCAGAGCCACAGACATACTGACACAAAACTACACTTACGGCATGGGGAGGGCATTTCCCTTATGTAGGAGAAAAATTGCTGAAGTTCGGAAGGAGCCTCAAGTTCAGGAGGAAAACTAAGAGTGTAACTATTGTAAATAATTTTTAAAAGCCCTCTACATTACTAAAACCAAATGAACCCGAGGCCCTGCCATGCTCTGATCATCGTGCCAAGACTGAAGCACCAGTGCAGGCCTTGAGCCAGGCTCCTCCTTCCAGTCCTCTTGTACCCTGGGACTGCCTGCTCAGCTCTGTCTTTCTAGCGCCACAAGGTCTACATTTGGGTCTGTCCTTGTCTGGGTTGACCCAGTGGGCATGTCTGTTTCCATCGTGGAATCTTGACCTAACCAGCCTCCCAAGATTTAAAGCTTGAGTTTCAGCAAGTTGGTACTATTCTGGCACCTACAGAAGGACATACCGAGTGTTAACTTTTAATTGTGGAAAAGTATAAAGTCTGCTGAAAAACATGCAACCGTAGAAGTCTGTCTATTAAATAATCAGCTTTAGTTTGGGAAGCAACACTCACTTGAGTTGTTTAACAAAGTGCTGCTCAAATCGTGGTCCACAGACTACCAATCAGCAATGGGCTAAGAACAGAAATTGGTAAACAATGTAACTGCTGCAACATTTTAATTGTATTTTACAAAGTACTACATAAAAGGGGTAACCAAAAACCTTGGCCCTTCACCAGTTTAAGACACACTAATTGGAACATCTCATCTAACCCACCTTAATCTACATAATCCAAATTATAGGACATCAAAGTTTACAATATTTTCTAATATTTTGCAACTTCTACATTTGTCCTACTTTGGATACTGGGTTTTTATTATTACTATTGATTTGAGAAAGACAGACGGACATTGATTTGCTGTCCTACTTAGGCATTCATTGATTAATTCTTTTGTGTTCTCTCACCGGGGATCAAACCTGCAGCCTTGGCGTATTGGAACAACTCTCATCAACTGAGCCACCCAGTCAGGGTGGAGGTTCTGGTCTTAATGTGAGAACAGTATCTAAGTGGCTTGTTTTTGCACTTTTCTTTAAGATATCGCCTCCAGTTTTTAAACAATTAGCTTTACCATTTCCAAGTGTCTTCATATTCCCTGCACGCACTCCTGGACCTAGGCCATCCTAGGTCTGCTGGCCTCTGGCGCACCCTTCTCCAAGGCCTTCACACTACTCTTCCCCCACTCACTCCTCAGTCTGTGAACATACTTAAGTTACACTCATACCAACAAACTTGTATTTCCCCAAGTTCTGTCCACTGTCTCTTCCTCTCTATTCCTCTAATTGTCCTAGTTTATGAAGTATGACCTGGACTCCAAGGTGGGCTCTTATTCAATCTCCATGACTCCCAATGGTTAGTAGAATGATCTCCCTGAAACCCAATCTGACCAGGTTGCTCCCAATTAAAACCCCTTCACAACTGTCCATCAGAACAGGTGTATGTCAAAGCTCCATCTCCCGTGACCCAATCCCTCCTATCTTTCCAACACTACAGTCTATATCCCATTTGACTATCTCCTTTGTCCCTTAAAATCCAGTTGTGTCTGAGGTGGTGCCATTAACTCCAGCTCTCCTTTTGATCTTGTGTCTGCAACTTCTTTTGCCCTGGCTAATTTCTTTACCCTCACCCTTCAAGACTCAGGATATTTTTCTGTAGGAAGCTTTCCCTGAACATATCACCTCAGTGCCTGTCAACATTTTACCTGAGCTAAGTGTCCCTTCTCTGTGCTCCCAAAAGTACCCTGTGACAAATGCTGTCAGAGAACTGACCATATGGCTCTGACAGTATGTTTTCATCTGTGTCATTCAACTCTCACAGCAGGAACATAAAGAACAAAGTGAGTGCTCAAGTGTTTGCTGGCATCAAGTCTGGATCAAGATAGAACACTTTTAAAACATCAGTGCTCTCGAATTCAGACTCTTAGGCCTTGGTTTTTTAAAAGCATGAATTGGACTTTACAGTAATGATACCGTAACTTTCCTTTTTGAAATAGTGTTCTCAGGACTAATGGTGTAGAGTGGAGAAAATACACAAGCATATTTTAATGATTAAAAATAAAAATCCAAAATCAGAGGAAAACACCACACTTGATCGCAGCTTTACCATCATCCTGACGGGACCCTGACTGACCAAAAACAGAAAGTCCGAAAGAGTCGATGGCTGTTCTTTTACTTTTTATTGCTGATCATTTTATACGTAGGTTTTAGCTAGCATGTCTGTGTGTGACATTTGACACTTCTCTTTCATACATTGACTATGCTGTCATTCTTGGCACAGCTCACCACCCACCAGGCCTAACGCCATGGATTTCAGAGCCTTGGATTTCCGGGTCGCACTCTGTCCCTCCTGCATCCATGCTTAGGGAGCTCTGTGCCTTCGAGTTCCCCTTTTTCTCCAGAGAGCAACTCACTGTTCAGACACAGCTCCTTCTGATCAGCTCCAGATTCAGAGTTCCCAAGTGCCACTTGAACTACAAATACTGTCGAAAACCACCTTAGTTTTTCCTTTGTGATAAGTGGTCTTGGAAAAATGTTCTTTCCCTTCTCATGCTTAGGCCTTGGAAGTGTCCAATTCTTTGTAGAAATAG